TTCCAAAAAAACAAGAAATTTGAATAGTTGGTTACAAATTTTAATGTAAAAGCATTTTCCCCACATATTTCATTTACTCCAGCTGTGTACCTTTTCACTCTCTATGTTTACACCGACAATCCTCAAAAATCTCATACTAAACTTTAATACCCGACGTAAAAACATTTAGCACCTTCCCCGAATTTCATTTTCACTAAATTCTAGAATGTTGTCCCGCGCCCAAACAAATTGCATGCTTACCTTTAAAATTCATTATTTTCCCAACTCCCTGGCAGGCGAAAAACCTTAATCACACATCCATGCCCACACTCGCAAATACCTCAGTCACTCTGTGCTGCGTCATTAAGTTTTGACGCGCCATAAGTGATGCATAAAAGCCCTCAGTTGTGGGTAAAGTATTATTTCAATGGCCAAAGTGCTGATTTCGTCCACACGCAAATATGTTTGTTTGTATAACGCCTAACGCTTTTAATGATTTAATGATTTTACCGTTTCTATTTTGGTAGCATTGAGTCAGAGCAAGTGTCTACTCCGGCGCTCTACTGTCACTCGTGTCAGCTAATGCATGCGAATTGTTGGTTGGCGGTTTGCCTGTGTCCGAAATAGCTTTGGTGCGCCTAAAAGCATGCTAACGTCGCCAATGACGCGGCAGTCGCACCTATACAGCACTCTTTTGAGGGTCCTGTAGGGAAATAGTTCGATTAAGATGTGCTTAGTTTGATGAAGATGGATTATATTGATGGTTATTATGTATTTTCAATCAGTGCTGATAAATTATGCAAGCACTGCTGATCCTTAAAGTATTTTTTTTTGAATTTTTCAGCCATTGGTAATAAATAAATGGTTTTTAATAGCCTGAAGCGACACAATTTTTCCGAACAAGCTTCAAGTCTTACGGGGAATAAAAATCTGCCGCTTTCTAGTATATTTTATTTGCATTGCAGACAAACATGTGCATAGTTTTAGGCGCTTATGCCCTATAATTTAGAAGTGCACGTTTACATTTGTCGGAATTCGCTTAGGCAGTTCGCTTACGTTCTTGTTAGTATAGTCTTAGTTTAACTGAGGTTTTTTTTTAAATTATGAAAAGAAATTTTTGTTATGAAAAATATGCATCAAAATTTATTATCGATAAAATTCGGATAATATCAGAAAAATTTGAACATATTAAAAAGCAGCCAGTGAAAAAGACCCCAAAAAGTGGTAAAAATTTTGTAGTTCCAGAAATCAAATGCGTTTTTCGACCGGATAAACCTTATGTATTAAGGCATATGTGACAGAATAACAACAATTAAGTTATCGATAAATAAATTGATTGTTATCTTAAACTTTTGGAGTTATCGAAAATCAGCTAAACGATAATTAGAAATGCATATGTGATGGAATAATCGAAATTAAGTTATCGATAAATAATAATTTGTTATCGAAACGTTTTAAAAGTATCGAAAATCAGATACGTGTATGTGAGGAAAAAATCAAAATTTAACGGAAAAAAACGATTATTATTGCAAATTTTTGGTATTATCGAAAATCAGAGAAACAGTAATTATAAATGCATTTGCGACGGAATAATACAAAAATAATTAATCGATACATAATCGTTTTTTATCGAAAAGCTTTGGAATTATCGAAAATCAGAAGTGGCAAATTAAAAGTTAGATAACCAAAAAATAATCTTTTATCGATATACGCATATAATCAAACGTGCAAGTACTTCAACAAAAACAACTTAGACTAAACCACAGTTATTGTTGCAAAAGGACTAGAAAATATTAAAATTTATCGATAAAAATTAACAAAATATCGATAAAATGTAAAATTTATCTTAAAAATTGTAAAAATTTCGATGAAAAGTGAATTTCATCTTAAATTGTGACATGTTTTAATAAATAAAAATTATTAATTATTTTATGGCAATAAAACTTGAAATGATAAAAATAGTTGTACGTAACCTCTTCAGTGCTACAAATTTCTCCTTCAGGTTTGTTGGGAAGTGTTGTTGTTCTTAATTTTAATTACGTTTATCGGGATATGCTTTTTTGCGATTTCTTGCCTTACTTGGTTCAGTTTTTTTGTTTTTGCGATTTAAAAAAATTAAAACAAAACTATACCAAATATTTACTAATGGGTATCAAACTCTGGTAAACTGAACAAAGTAAGGCAAGAAATCGCAAAAAGACATATTCTTACTTACTTTATTTTAATAAATTTATCATAGCTTTACACCAGTTAGTGAATTTTAGGTTAAATTTTGTTATTGTATTGTAGTTTCTTATACAAGTTAACTCCATTTATCAGAATTTTATACCACTCGGTAAATGTGGTATACTGTTTTGTATATAATTTATTTTACGTTCAGTTTACCAGAGTTTTATACCAATTAGTTAAATTTATCAGAGCTTTGTACTAATTAAAAAATATTGGTATAATTTTTTATATATATAATACTTTTTTCTTTTTTGTAAATAATTTTATTACTATTATTATATTTTGTCGTTAGCCGCATTATAATATATTATTAAATATTTTACATCAATTGAAAAATTTGGGTATACTTTCAAAAACTATATTTTGCAATTTCTTGCTTTATTCAGCTCGGTTTATTAGAATTTATACCAATCGGTAAATTTTGGTATAATTTTATATACACGTTATACTTTTTTACATTTTGCTTCTCTTGTAATTAATTTGGTGTTGTTATAATGCTGTTTTTATATTTTTGAAATAATCCGAACTTTATACCAATTGGAAAATTTTGGTATAATTTAAAAAATTGTATTTTGCAATTTTTTGTTTCATTTAGCTCGGTTCATCAGAGGTGTATATGTGAAATTCTTATAATTTGTTTTATTTAAAAAGTTTTTCTGAAAATTTAAATAACCAATATCTAAAATTTTGGGATACCATATTTAGAGATTATTTTCTTAAATGTTAAACCAATTGCTAAATTTTTAAAATTATTATTTTTTGTTTTTGTCTTTTTTTTGATAATTTTTTTTACTATTATTATTAATTTTTCTTTATTAAATTGTCTACTATTATTATCATTATTATATTATTTTTTTCTGCTAAACTTCAATACAACTTTTCTTTAAAAAATTATTTTCTTGCCTTACTGCAATTAGTTCGCAATTATTTATTATTACTATACTCTTATAAATGATTACGTCAGCCACATTTTCACCTACGCAATTTTTCCATTTGTTGTTTTTTTGCAAAAGCATTTTTTATTGCATTCAGCATTTTAACGAGAGCAGTGAACTCGTATTCTAAAGGCAAATAAATTGAGCAACAACAGCTTAATTTCATTAATTAGTACTTAAACTTGGTTTTGTGAATACTTACACGTGCGTGCGAATAAGTCATCATTAATTGAAAAAAAAATATATAAGAAATATTTATATTATAAATTTTAAATGTTGAGCTGGCTACGGAAATAAAATATATATTTTATATCAAAAAATACCTTTATGAAAAAAAATTATTATTTAAAAAAATATATATTTTATAAAAAAAGAAGTGCTTTTCAACTTCATAATCTTTCTAAAACTTAACAAACAATAATAGACTAGTGGTCTAAGAAGTCTTTGAAAATGTCAAAAAGGAAAAAAAAAATTATACTAAATTGAAATCCTTCGGAAATACGGGTATAGATAAAATAACCAACATTAAAGGCACAACTTACGCGCGATCTGAGTTTGGGAAAATGTGGAGGAGTGGCCTGGTTGCAGTGTTAAGAACGGCTTATCCCCATTTCCATCCAACCTACGAGTCCTATAGAAAAAAAAATTGATGCAATGTTGTAATCAATGAAGGGATCTATAACCTTCAACGTATAGGCTTTTGAAGTACTATAAGCTCAAAATTTGTGTAAAAAATTCAAATAACTAAATTTTTGGGTATTTTATTTTTGTCTTATGTCCTACATACTATAGTTTTAAATTTAAAATGGCACTGAGCAGAAAATGTTTGGCTTTAAAATCGGTCACAATCGTGGCTCGATGCGATGGTGTATTGTCATTGTGTAAAATCCATGAATTGTTCTTCCACAATTCTGGCCGTTTTCGACGGATTTTCTCAAGCAAATGCCTCAATACGGAACACCCTCCGGAACACATTCATGATACACTAAACCATAAATATCGAAAAAACAATGAGCATTACCTCCATTTTTGAACGGCTTTGGTGTGGTTTTTTGTTGGTTTCGGCTCGTTTTTTTCCTCCATTCCGACATGTAAAACTCGTAAACATCAGTAAAAGTCTCATGGGCAGATATAATGTTCTCCATGAATGTGGGATCAGAATTCGCATGAACAAGCTTGTCCAAAGAGATTAGTTTACGGTACACTTTTTGAAAAAAAAAGAGGTCGAAGGTCGTCCAGAACGAGACATGTCTTCAACGATCTATCGACCGTCTTTGAAGGCTTCATATTACTGGTAGGCTCGTGTTTTTGTTAAATCTGAATCACCGTAATGCTTTTCCAACATTCGCAACGATTCCGCGCACGAAGTTTGGTGTACGAGTACATTACTCTTGTAATTTTTCTCAGAAATGCCAAAAATACCACCTTATCTATGTATTAGTACAAAGGTTTTTAATTTAATTTTCAATTAGAAGCGATCAAAAAGGCATAAAGTGTCTTAAGTATTGGAATTTCTATGCTAAATGAGCAGCAGTTGGAAGAAGACTTTTAGCTTCTTTCACCACCAGCTTTACTTTGCTAGACCTAAGGCAACGATACGCTGCCTTTTCCAATTAGCTTTCCGTGCTGTAATCGCGCGGGGTGGGAGAGGTGGTATTAAGAATGTGCAACTTATTTTATAGTCGCATTTTAATTGAATATTGAATCTAGCGAGCTTAAGGTTAAGTTGCGCAATTCGTTAGGCAAAACGGTAGTGGCCATAACCTCACTTAAGCCATGGCTCTCTTTTTAATTGTTTTATTTCAATTAAACTGCTATACCTTCATACTAAATATTGTATTTTTCTTTTATTTGCAGTTGTGGCACTTTGAATATTGACAAATGCTGAAACTTCAACAACAACAGCAACAATAAAAACGCTTGTTTTAAAGCAAATCCACGAAGCGGCATTAAAAGCAGCGATTTCAAGCACACCATGTCGCTACCAACTTAACTGCGGAGAATTGTTACACAAAATACAATAAAAGCAAAGAAACAAAAAATTACAACAAAACAGAAGTATCCAACAAAAAAATAAAACAAATCCACCACTAAAAACAAAAACAATCAGCAAATCCGCCAAGAAGCAACGCAACAAAAGTTTTCCAGCCCTTCCGAGTCTCAGCGTTTTTCAAGCGTAGTCCGTTTTTTTACGAGACTTTTTACTCAAAACCGCAACACCTTTTAGTGCTTATTTTAATTATTTTAACTCAACACGCGCAAAACATAGCAAAACCGTTACAACAACCTTTGTAAAATCGCTCAAGTGTGCTTTGAGTTCGTTTGCGCTTCGTTTTTCTTTTTGTTATTAGTTTTTTTGGGTGTTTTTAACCAAGCTCTTCGTTTGTTGTGCGCTGCCGATGTAATTTTCCCTCGTCGCAGCTAACCCCGAAAGTGTTTCGTTACATTGTTTTTCGGCCAAACAGCGATATCCGGTTTGTGCGTCTATTGGTGTAAAACTGTATGACATTACTTGGGCCTAGCGCCCCTGGTATGGCCTTTATGATGAAAAAGAAAAAGTATAAGTTCAATGTTGAGGTACAATTACAAGAGCTCTCCGAGGTGGCGCTCGTAAATGAGGTGCTGTTCGCGAAAATACGTCTACTGGATGGTGGTTCGTTTCAGGAGTACAGCAGCAGGTGAGTGGCCGGCGAGACAACTAGTATTATATTTCAAAATTTATTTGGTTTAAGAAATTAAAATTTTCCAAAAAATTCTGAGCTTTAAGTAATTGATTATTGTGTTCCTGCAAACTTTGTGAAGTAAATATTCAAAGGATATTAAACTACAGTAAGATTTCTGATGTGTCTACAAATGCAGGCAGAATTAAAAACCTGTTCGATGCTTCGTGTGAGTGAAATATCTATTCTTCTAAAGGCCTGTAGTAAGCTGCAGAGAAACTGTTGAAAAAAGTTGGGGTCTCCCACCAAAAGTTGTTCTTTTGCGCTATATTAAGATAGTCGATTGCATTATCGTTGACCCATAATGTTCTATAACAGTTTTGTAGCTCGTTGCCTATACCTTCAAGACTAGTGAAGGCATACCTTGACTACTTATTCCTGGTAGCGAGTTATTTATGAACTTGTAATCTCTAATATCGATTTATTTCATGATTGCATAGACTTGTCTAGCCATAGCGATATTGCATGGTTGATGAGCTTGCTAGGTCAGGTACCTTAGCTGCTCACTAGCTGCAAAATATAACCATATAGTAACTCCGTTGACTTCTTGCGGTTCAATATTGGATGGTTGGTCCTCTGTACTTTAAAAGGTTCTTTGACCAAAGGTAAGTCGTAAAGGTCTTTTGACTTCTTCGCCCACAGCAAAGCTCAGCTTTTAATAGTTGGGTTATGTAAACTGGATGATTTCTCATGAGGTCAGGAATAATCCCACTTGGATTGCCAGAGACGATATCCAAAACTCCTAGATATGGATCGCAAAGGCCATCGCATATCGCCTAGAGCCTGTCACAAGTTTGTAGAGGCGGCTAATATAATATTAGTGCTTGCCAATAACATAGTTGTAGGAGTCGAAAATTTTTTTTTGCTGTACGAGTATGTAGCAGTCTAAATGTGATACTCCGCCATCTTGGGCGATCAGCCATCAGTAATCATACTCAAAATGATCAAAATATTATGCAAATGTTTTTCTGCGATTCCTCGTTCATATTCCACACCTATTATTCAATGAAAAAAAATTAAAAAAGTTTAATTTCGAAGCGAACTGTCGTCCATCAGATCCAGAAAAAAAGCTAAGAAAGCATGTTTTTGAGGTTTTGAACTGTCAATCGTAGTTCATTGATGGAAAAAGTCTATTTACTAAAATGGTTGGTCTACTGGCTACAAACCTTAGCTATAATCTGAAGCATCTTCACCTCAAATATCATATTTTAAATCTATTATCATAGATTTCGTAGAGAAAGCAAAAGCTCAAATTGAAATGATTCGAAATAGTGTAGCTTGAATAAGAATTTTGATTGAACTACTTCAAGATACGTTCACAAATTGTCCACAAAGAAAAGTTTGTAAAAGTTTCTGAGCTTTAGAAGGTAAAGTAAAAGACTCGAAGTAGAAAAGCATGAATAGTAAGTTCTAAATATATTTTCGATTGAAAAACCTCGAGTTGCGCTCACAAAATGTTCACAATTGAACGTCTGAAAAATTATCAAAGCTTTCGGAGGAAAAGTGAAAGCTTCAAATGACATTATTCGAAGTAGTATAGATAGAACAGTAAGTAATGAAAAGATATTCGATTCCAAAGCTACGAGATGCGTACAGAAAATGTCACACAAATGTACGTCTATAGCAGTCTCTGAGCTGAGAGGAAAAGTGAAAGCTATAAATGACATTATTGGCGGTAGTATAGCTAGCACAGTGAGTTCTGAAAAGATTTTCGACTAAATATCTACGAGATGCATTTAAAAAATATTTACAAATGTACGTCTATAGCAGTCTCTGAGCTTCCGGAGAAAAAAGTGAAAGCTCCAAATGACATTATTGGCGGTAGTATAGCTAGCACAGTGAGTTCTGAAAAGATTTTCGACTAAAAATCTACGACATGCATTTAAAAAATATTTACAAATGAACGTCTCTAGAAGTCTCTGAACTTTCGTTGAAGGCTCTGAGCTTTCGACGGGAAAGTGAAAGCTATCCTCATAATACTAAATAGCATGGTTTGAACAAAGATTTCTGAAAATATTTTCTATTGAAAAATTTGCATACCAAACCGTTCCCATTCCACTGATAGCGTGGCTTCTTTCCAGGTCGTCAGTAGTKCCTCCGAGATCTTGTATCTAAAGTTTTATTTGGGCAAGGCCACTACTACGCTGTGATACCCTTGTGTCACGGTACTTAAGAATTCTCCCTTGAAGTATTCTTCCCACAAACCTCAAGTTTTATCAAGTCCAATCTATCGCAGGGAAGACTATGAATAACAATAAGATTTTAATCAAAATCATACCTGCTATAGTGTTACAACGTTTATTTTAGTTTGAAGACTTTACATAAAGAGACTGCCTCGTTGGAAACTTCGAAATACCACTTTGGACCCTATGTAATTCTAAACATTGACATTTCCCCTTTAATCCACAGAGAGGAGGTGCGCGATCATCGTGTAGTATGGAATCGCAACTTCGAGTTTCCCTGCAAAATGTCCGCCAATGCATCCACAGGCGTATTGGATCCCTGCTATTTACGCATCTCCATACGCAAAGAGATGAAGGGCGGACGTAGTTATTTTAAGTTAGGTTTTATCGATATAAATCTTGCCGAATTCGCTGGCGCCGGCCTGACGTCACGACGCTTTCTGCTCGAAGGCTATGACTCGCGTCATCGTCTGGACAATTCCATGCTGCTGGTATCCATCAAAATGCACATGCTCAGCGGTGATATACTCTTCAAGGCGTAAGTGCAAACGCGCTTTAATATTATTTCATTGAATTTCTTTTAATTTTTCATTTCCAATTTCCTTTTTCATCAGACCCACGCCGAACCTGAAGAGCAAACAGAAACCCTCAACGGATGACCTGGCTACCGCGTCGACGGGTGTGGGCCTGCAGACGCCCACCGCCACAGCGTTGCCCAGCATGGGTGGCGGTGTCGGCAGTAGCGGACCCAGCGTGGGCGGCGGAAGTCAAGGCATACCGGTTAGCGTTGGTGGCGCTACGCTAGGCGGCGGACTCAATAGCACGACCAGCACGCGTCCCGTCTCCACCGTGCGCGAGGATGGTAAATATTATTAGAAGTTTTATGCTTTCAAGTTGAAATTTCATTTTATAAAGTTAAAATTTTATTATTGAAAAATAATTGCCCTGTTTGCACGCAGATTTGGACCCTCAAGTAGTGATCGCTTCGATTGTGACGGACTCCGGCTTGTCGGAATCTTCCGAATCGGCTACTACACTCACCACAGAAGCGTTGCTGTTGCAGCAACAACAACAGTTTATCGCTTATCCACCGCAAAATACGTTAGGCTCAACGACAACAACAACAACCACAGTCGTGACATTGACGAATGCACAACAAATGCAGCCATACGCTGGCATTGGCAGCAGCACCAGCGGTGGCGGCGCGGCGTCCACTATGGGCATAGTCGGTAGCAACAATTGCGGCACGACCAGCGCGAATGTGATGGGCGGCGGCGGCCTGGGTGGCACTACCGGCACGTCGTCGATTATGGAAATGGGCCACTCGCGTAATTCCAGCAACACTAGTCAAGTGAGTGCGCTCGCCGCCAGCATAGAAGACACAGTGATTTGTGCGCTTTTAACTGCAATTTATTAATATTTCACTTCTTCTACTTCTTTGCTATCTCTCTCTCCACTTTTGTGTATGCAGATGTCGAAGGGTTCGGGTTATAGCAGTTTTTCGCACAGTCAACATTCGAGGCAAAGTTCTGAAGGCGATTCGGGGCATGCAAGGTAAGCGTTTTGTTTGCAACACTGCAACAACAACAACAACAAATAATTTATTTATTATTATTACCTACCTTCTTTCGTACGTACTTATGTATTGTATTTGTAATTACCAATTCTCTTTTCTTATAAATATTTATATACTAATTTGCCATCCAAAACTAATTCGAGTACAAAAAAGTAAAATCCAAAAAATCGAAATAAGCGTTTAGTTTATGTATGGTATTATATACATTTTGTATGAAATAGTTACGTTTTTTGTTTGAAATTCTACTTTTTGTTTTTGTACACACATGCCTACGCTATACTCAAAACAATTAACAATAACAAAGCAACACTAACAAAAACTATATTTACAACTAACAACAATAACAAAGAGGCGCCAAGTCGTCGCCATTTTAACCCGCTAAGCTACTACCCGACATTCATACACCTACTAAGCTACTAAATAACAAGCAGAACCAAAAAAAAAAAAAAAAAAAAAAAAAAAAAAAAAAAAAAAAAATAAACAAGAACAATAACAAATTAACACTTGTCAAGCGCTCAATTATTAAACTAATTTTGTTATATAACTGTTTAAAATAATAATTTTTTGTGTATTTTTTTAAGTTTACTCCGTCGTGAGTTAACTAGCGTCCGCACTACAATAGCGTCAAATAAATTTTACTTGCCATTTTTAAGTTAGTTAGTTATACAACAGTTTTTTAGCCTACATTTTAGTGAGAATTTCAATTTTCAGCGTACATTTGCATTTTTTGATTCACAAAATTGCTAATACCTGCTTTTTTTTTGTAAATTTTTTTTTACTAAATTTCACATTATCCATTTTCGAACTCTAGCTTTGAGTTAGTTTATTTGCTACGTTAAATTTTCTCTTGCTTCACAAAACATTGAGAGTTATAAACTATTATAATTTATAGATTTTTTTTTTGTGATTCTTATTAAGTAGACTTTGGACTTTCTACAGTTTAAAGTATTCTGTTTTACGTCGTTTGACGTTTTTAAGACTTCGCTAAAGGTTCACCAGACTACACAAGGGTTAATGGGCTGAAAATCTTCACTGTGTTTTACATCAGTTAATTTGTTTGGATAAGTTCAAAGCGCATATAAAAATCAAAAAATCTGAATCAGCTGAAATTAAAGGAATTCAGGAAGATAGAATAAAACCAAACACAAAAAATTATATTTTTTTAAATTTAATGATTCAATGATCTAAAAAGAAAAAAGTATTAAAATTAAATTGAAAAATTAAGATTTATTAAGGAATAATAATTAAATTAATTAAAAGTACTAATTAATTAAAAAAATTAATCAACTTAACTAAACTTAAAAAATAATTATTATTAAAAAATTAAACATTAAATAATTAGTAAAAAAATTAATTAGAATAATTTTAAGTAAAAATAATAAAAAACATTAATTAAAGCAACTTAATTAAAATTAAAAATAATAATAATTTGTAAAAAATTAATTACAATCAATTTAATTAAAACCGACATAGAACATTAATTAAGTCAACTTAATTAAAATTAATAAAAACATTAATTAAATTAATAAAGTTAAAAGTTTTATAATTATCGGAAAAATAAAGACAGCGAAATAAAAATTAAATTATATCGAATTGAGTTTACTTGGAGGCATATAAAATATGTGTCGCAATTACATTGAATTAAATAAAAAAATGCAAAATTACTACACCAATTATATACTATAATGAGTTTAATAAAATTGTGGGAAATTTAATAAAATATAATATATGAATAAATTAGGTTAAACTAAAATTAAATTCAATTAAAATTAACCAGAATTTATTGTAAAAACTGTCTCTTATACACATCTAGATGTGTATAAGAGACAGAAATATGCACTTAATTAATTTTCATTGGCGGCTAAATTAAATTAATTATAATTAAATTTAATTAAAATTAATCGAAATCTATCCAATTACAAATTATATAAAATACTTATTTCATTCGCAAATCACAATTAAATAGAAAATTAAAAATAATTAAATAGTTAATTAAAAATATTCATTTTATTTTGAAATGACGCAAACAAAACAAATAGTTAATGATACTAAATTGAAAAATATTGCATTGAAATTAAAGAATTGAATTTTATGGAATTATAATTTCTTAAAACTATTGAAAAAATAATTTTTATATAATTAACTAAAATTAATTTAATTTGTAATTTTACTGAACTAAATAAATTTAAATAAATACGATCGATGCTGTTTTGATATGAATGCTAAATTAAATTAAAACTAATTGCATTGAAGTGAATTGATTTCAACTGTATTTAATCGAATTTAATTGAACAATACATTTTCTAAAAAACGAGTTGTTTTAATACTGTCTCTTATACACATCTAGATGTGTATAAGAGACAGATTGAACTAAATGCGCTAAATTTAAGCAAAATTATTTTAATTTAATTTAATTAAATCGAAGTGAATTGAATTGTATGGATTTGAACTTTAATGAATCGTGTTTAAATCTAATTAATTTTTTTAATTAAATATAATTTATCTCTAATTATAATATTAATTATATTAAAAAATACAATTACATTTAATTGAGTTAATTCAATGAATTTGGATTGACTCTAATTAAATTAAGTAGAACATATAATTAAAATTATTATATAACTTAATTAAATTTGAGTTATTTTAGTTGAGGTTGATGCAATTTGTTATCAATTTAGACTCAAGTAATTTATTTTTTAATCGAATGTTAATGAATTAAGTCATATTAAACAAATATAAATTTGATTTTAATAAAACTCGATTCTGGAACAATTGAATCAAAACAAATTCAGAGTGAAACCAAATGCATTAAAACTAAATATTTTTAATATCAAATATAAATAATTTAATATGTATAATAACAAAACTATTTGAGATAATTTTCAAAATTAATTCGAAATAATTAAAAAAAAATTCGAAAGAATTTTCAAAATAATTCAATTCTTCTGAATTCCGTTTGTAATTGAGAACAATTTGGAAAAGCAATTTTCTTATATTGGAAAAAGAAAACTATATTATTATACAAATAACATAATATTATGTTGTCAAAAAAGTCTTGCGGTATTTCTTATTGAATTTTCAATTGTTCATAAAATTTTTTTTTGATGACTCCTGCCCAGCTCTTGACCGATGCTACGGCTGCTACTATGCCGGTCTCTTTCGAACAATTCAGCGATTTTATCGCAATTTTCGATGACAGGCCTTCCGGAGCGTGTCGCATCTTCGACCACCTCTACACCAGAACGAAAACGTTGAAACCATCGTTGTGCGGTGGAAATGGAAACTGTATCGAATCCATAAACTGCGCAAATTTAATTGGCGGCTTGAGATTAATTTTTGCCTTAATCATAAAATATGCCGTATTTTCTCTTTAGTTTGCTMCATGTTTGCGACGCTATAACTTACGAACGACTTAAAAGAAACGACAATCAATCAAACATGTTAGCGCGGGAAATGAGCTTTTCAAAAAGGTATAGCATGACCCGATGCGCCGAATAAAACTAGAACTACGGGCTCTTAGAGCCAACTAGCTAAAATACCGCAAGACTTTTTTTGATAACCTAATATAATAATAAAAAAATATAAAATGAAATAAAATTTTCCAATATTTAAAAAATATAATAATATAATCGCTGAAAACATCGAAGAGGCCATTGTCAAGAGTGTTCGTTTGTCCATAATTGAACAAAAATAATATTCGCGAACTCAAAACATTTTTCAATGTTAAGTTTAAGGCCATTGCGCGATAGTTTGTCGTACGCTAAAAGGTGACGACATGACTCAAGGCATATAATGTGCGTTATGTATTTGAACTGAAATTGATATATTGGCACAAATAACCACGTAGCGCATTCAGATTGTCGCGTAATTTCAGTGAAATTATTGAAAATTGTCAGGTGTTTCACTATAAGCTAATGATTTATTGATTTTGTAGGTTCGTTAGTGTAAACAAGTTAATTTGAGACTATGTGTTTTTCCCAATTCGAAAATGTTTGCTTTCAAACGAGAAACGCAAATTTCCTAACCTCACTTTCAAAATTTTCTCCCAAACTAGAAATACAAATTTCTTAACCTCACTATCAAAAACTTTTTGAATGGTTTACTGGTTTATTTCAGCGTTTGTTTTGCTTGCAGCATTTGTCACTTGCAAATGCACAAACCAAATTGGCAACCAGTCAAATTTGTTACTCACTGAAACCAGGCAGTCCACATTTGTACATTTGTATATGCAAAAATTTTATACAAATTTGCATTAAGCATTTGGCAATAAATTCTTTAACTCGTAAAATTATTTTGTTGACTTTTCGCTGTTGTTGTTGCGCGGCGTCGTTCGAAGATATTGAAATTGAGGCAAATGTTTCACTCGAAATTCATTTGTGCACTTATAAGTACATATACATATGTTTGTATACCTGTCTAAATTTTATTTTGTTTTTTTCGTGTAATTTTGGGGCGTAAACCGCGATGAGCTCATCTCTTCGGCACGCAGTTGCAATTATTTTTATCAGTGCGCCTGAAGTTGGTCATAATTAAAATATTTGTTTTCGAGTTATTAGGGGCGCAGCTTATGAATGCCAATTTCGGTCAGGGGCAGTTAGAATTTTATGAGTAATGAAACCTTCACTCTTGAAAATATTGCACGATACGATAAACGATAATATTTCACCGGACTTACGATTACATCCGATTTTTACTGTTCTTTCTCTCCATTCAATGATGCTGATCTCCTTGTTCAGTCAAACCCTTGTTTTTCGCAAAATTTTTCGTCATAGTAAAGCTTGGAATTCTGACTTTACACGCTCCTTGAATCAAATCKTTCCTTTCTACAACACCTTTTAATTTTTGTGTAATTTTTCAACTTTTGAYTTCAAATTCTGTTACTTTTTAAAATAATTCTTAGTTTTCCATAAATTTTTTCACTACTTTCTGTTTTCGTTGTCTCAATGATTGCTCATCTTTTCCGATCAATATTGACAGTACCCTCATATCTCTCCGATATTATTTAATATGTCGTTATTGTCATTTTATTTTATTCCGCTTTTTTCTTTTTCTACAGCCTTTATATACATATTTCTTCTGCCATTCTTTCTATTTKTCCAAAAATCTTAAATTGTTCTGATATTATCTGAAAAAACATGTTCTAGGGTTAAAAATCTCTTCTACTTTATCTGAAACAAGTCTTGTTTAACAAGGCAAGGCAGAATTATCTCGCTACTTCCACTTTTCCAAGTTTCTACTCAAATAAATTGTGACTCTAATATACCCTGGAGTCATATGTTCGAGTGAAAAAAGTCAAATTCTTTTTGTGTAAAAACACTTTAAATTCTTTTTGTGTAAAAAACAAACTTTCGTTTGATTAAAAAAAAATTTTTTTTTCACTCAAATAAATTCCAACTTAAGTGTTAGTGTAAAAGATATAAAAAATTTTGTTTATTAAAAAACTAGTTTTTTGTTAATTAAACATTTTCTCACTCAAATACATTTTTACTCAAAAAGGTCACTCAACTTATAGTAAAAAAAAAGCAAGTTCCTTCTTTAGAACAAACAGTCAGTTTCTCGTTCGATAAAAAAAGTCTATATAATAAATTCTGAGTGCAAAGTGTCACTCATAAGTTAAAGTGAAAAAGCTCAACTAATATTTAATTTTTATATTTTACAGATAAAAAATTTCAGTAGGCTAAAAAACTTGTCCACCAAAAAAACTTTTTACTCGAAAAAATTACTGACTCAACAACTCTCTCTTTTTGTAAATGTCTTCTTTGTTTGACAAAAAAASAAATTTTTACTCAAATGTATTCTGTCTCAAAAAAGTCACTCGGAAGTGATAGTGAAAAAAAAACTCAATTATTTTTTACAGATAAAATTTCAATTGGCGRTCGCTTTGCTTCGAGAAATCTGCCGACATTTTGCGCTCAAAAAACTTTCCACTCGAAACGATTAGTAAATAAAAAAAAGCAATTGCAATAAGAAAGCTCTTGCCTTCTATGTTTGATGAAAAACKAGTTTCCACTGAAATATATTCTGACTCAGTTATATTTTTCCATTCAAATAAATGCTGACTCAAACGTGATAGTAAAGAACACTTAAATTTTTTTATAAAAAAAAAAAACGTCTCAATTAGCGGTTGCTATTGAGAAAAAWTTTTATGGTAGAAAAAGTTTGCACTGCAAACAAATTTTTGACTCGAAAATATTACTAACTCAAAAAAAGTTTGCTTTTTATGTAATGAAAGTCCCTTTGTTTGATAAGAAACCCGTTTCCACTCAAATAGAATAGAACTCAAAACAATCAACCAGAAGTGAAAGCGAAAAAAAACTCAATTATTATTAATTTTTTTCATTCAAATAAATTCTGAATAGTGAAATAAAAATTTCAACTATTTTTTCCACTCAAAAAAAAAGTAAAAAAAAAAAACGTTTCGGTGATTGCGTTTGTTTAAAAAAATTGTGTTGCTGGTATTACTCACATCTCACCACTTTTACTTACAGTTTTAGCTCACGCGTAATTTTTAACGCTTTGTTAGTGTAATATTTGTTGCAAATTTCATCTTCAGTAGTTTGCAAAATTCAAATAATTGGTTGGTTGTTCTACTTATTGAATTGTGGTTTTGGATTTATGCAAAATTCTAATTATTTTTTTACAATTTTTTATTAAAAA